TGAGCTGATTTTTTTTCTGGCAGTAAGAGAAATGCTTAATCCAGTTATTTTAATTCCTAAATGCTACATATTACTGAACAATAATATCCCAAACCTCCAACAGCATAGTCAATGATTAGTACTCTAAGAACATACTATAGTGTGCAGTATATAGGATCCTCTAATCATCCCGGATATATTATAATCCTTCATGTGTTGTCTTCATACTTGCATAACTGTTACTCAGCAAACATGGAATCAGCACATGAAGCCAAGTCAGTTAAGGACCAAGTGTCTATATTTGTATAGCAAGCTAACCTTAGTTAATTTTAACCTTAGTTGGGGTGTGTGTGTGGTTCACTGGAGTCAAACCTGATCCTTTAGGTTAGTTTATGAGTCAGTGTAAATCAGGAAACAGGTTAATTCAGTAATCAAGTTACATATGACATTTGACTGTAACCTGGGTTTATCTAATAAAATGAAGCTTCAGATAACATTATTTCTTAAGTGTCTCACTTTTTCTCATGGATCCTTATCCGTCTTTCAGATGATATTACATATATGTAGGGCTTGGGTCAATGAATTACCTTTAGCCTAGAGAACTGAAAAGTTAGTGTCTAAATTTGTATGAGATATTAGTTATACTGCAAATGTATAGGAAATAAGAAGCAAAATAAATAAATCCAAGGAAAGAAAGGGGGATGTTAATAAAGTAGTATTATAAAGGTTTTTCAATCTAGTTGATAGTAACAGTTCCTAATAACATTCAGTTTGACAATGCTAGTTTCAGAGCTGTCAAAACATTTTCCTTTTTTTTAAAAAAAAAGCATTTGAAATAAATTGTTCTCATAGTTCATGCACATAAAGCTAAAGAAAATTTCAGTGTAAATTTGTGTAAAGATCTGAATGACACTCTATGAAGCATTTATAGCTGTTTATAAGAAATAAGTGAAGGAAACTTCTGAATACTTTCAGTAGAAGACAGAAATAAATAAGACAAGGAAGCATCTCAGCTTCTCAGTAGGGAATTGAAAAAATGAAGACATAGAACTAGTTTCCTAAGGTTGTCATCAGTATGGTGATCAAGGAAATTCAACTCCTGAGACATACACATTTGGGTAGCACCTTTGGGAATCTTCCATCTAAATACTGATAATAAGAGAAAGATAAAATAGATCTATATTTAGAAAAGTGACTTCCTGAGAGTGCTCATCATTCCATATTTCACTGCTGTTGATTAGAAAGCCACAGAGATATTCTCTAATTATCAACTGAAGTACATCTTGTACTTTACTGGTGATTGCAAGTATACTGTAGAAGGGTAATTTGTCTATCCATACTAACATTATTACTTCTAATGACTAGAAAAACAATTTTGGAATAAAATACTAGATATTTATTCCACTTCATGCTTATGAGACTTATTTATAAGAAACATAATCTAAAATGGCCATTTTTTTAAGGTGGGTTGTTGGTTCTTCTGCAGACAAAAAAAAGCAGATTACAAGAAAATTAATGAATACAGGACAAAAGGAAATGGAAAAAGGACAATCAAAACAAGCAATGAAGAAAACATAAAAATACAGTATTCTTGGGAAGGCATTTAGCACTATTTGTAGAGCACTGCTATTTACTACACATTAAGTTATGAGAGAGAAAAGCAATTCCTCCATTTTCTGCCTTATCCTGGTGCAAAGGATTTCCCCCCAATGCAATTCACAGCTTTAAAGAAGTAATTTGCTTCTAGGTCTCAGCAGGAAACCACCTGAAATGCTGAATGTTGTTAGACAGCCTCCCTACCTCCAGTAGCTGCTGCATGCATTTTTAAAGAAAACCATGGAGGTTCCCAACTTGCATTTAAATGCAATAAAAGTAAACTTTAAACCAAATAAATAATATGGCCAAATGAATGTTGGGTCTTTCTGATATATCTTACTGATTTGCTGTCATTTTTGAAATAACTTCATTGATGTCTGATCTTGTTAGAATGAATTATATAACTCTTTTACTTTAACTAGAGGTACATGTAAGTAACCCAACACTCTTTGTCAGTAAAATATGCAGATTGAATGCTTATATTTGAATAGTTCCTTCACAGGTTTTGTTAACACTTCCTTATTTCAGGTATTTTCTAAGTTTTTACTGTATACCATCCCATTTTATCATAATAAAGCTGGTCTTCCTCACAGCTCTGCTTCCAAACTGACTCAAATGAATTTTTCAGACTTTACTTTTTATTTTTATTTTTCTACTAGGATCTTCTACTTTGGCTGCAGGAGCTATTGGTTAACAAAGTACTATTTGCTTATGGATTTGATTGTCCTGTACTGAAAAGCAGAATAGAAATATTTGAAATAAAGTGAGCTAATGGACTAGTTCATATTAAACTATGGTATGAGCTTCCCTATCATTGGAGCATACTTTCTCTTCATTAATACACCTAATCCAGTTTGTTGTGACATATGGAGGTATAATCCCCTACCCTGGATATTCAGTAGAGGGTGAAATGTGACTTCTCATTCTGAGGATATAAGATTCTGTCAGAAGGATCAGACACCTTCTTTTCCCATAGTTCATGCCCAAGCCGGGAATCCAATAAAACATACCAGACGATCAGTGGAGGTCAAAGAAAAAACCCAAGGTTGTTAAATAACATTGAGTGGTGGCCGTGATGAACTGCTCCTCTGCCTCCCTTCTTATAGGTTTTTAAGATTTAGCCAATCATTATCAATAGAATGAAATGCATTCGCTTATCACATATAATTCTTTTCTTATCTAGAATTAAAACATATGCCTTCTTATCTAGAGTTAAAACAGATGTTTCCTTAAACCAGCATTTTATCTTTCCTATACATATGTTTTCTATGCATAAGATATACTATATATTTCCTTTACATGGGTTTTGCTACGTGATGTGCTCATTTATTTCTAATGGCAGGAGCCAGTCTTTTCCTTTTATAAAATGTCATTACTATTACCTACACAATCTTTCATCGATCCTTAATTTAAACTTATTGTAAACATATAAGGAAAATATTCCAGTGGTTTGTATATTCCTTTTAAAGTACCTACATTTTCCTAAATCAATATTCCAATGATGGAGCCTATTTTAAACAGGTGATGAATTAAAATGTAAGAATATAACTGAGAGCTAGTTTGATCTACTGGTTAAAGGCACAAGGCTAGGAACCAGGACACTATGAGTTCTAGTTCCGTGGTAGGCACAAAGCCAGCTGGGTGACTTTAGGAGAGGCAGTCTCTCTCAGCCTAGGAAGAAAGCAGTGGCAAACCACTTCTGAAAAATTTTGCAAAGAAAATTGCAGGGACTTGTCCAGGCAGTTGCCAGGAGTTAAGACTCACTTGAAGGCACACACACAAAAAAGGAATATAACTGCTTAAATTGAACTTTAAATGTTAAGTATCTCTGTGTTAAAAAGGGGAGTCTCCCTTTTAGAATCTGACTCTTTGTCAACAAAAGGAGTACCAAAATTCTGATCCCCTGGTCAATCTTAAGATTTATGCTTTCATTTTAAAAAGTTGCATTTTCTTTGTTCAAAGGAGTCATTTTGTAGAGTACTTTCTCCAGCTTTATTCGCTTTTTTAAGATAACCTTTTTCTTTAACATATTTAAAGCATGTATGGGGAAAATGCTGTTATTTACTGAATATCTTTCTTAGTGTAGCTCATTCTTCTAGAAATTTGTCATATCATAAATAATGTTGAGGATATTTTTTCGAAAGCAGGAAATCTTAGAAACAGCAGAGATTGGACATTATTGACTTTCAAAAAGAATTGTAGATTTCATTTGTCAGAATCATTTGTGATAGTCACATTGTATTCTCAATAAATATTCTGTGGTGAACATGGAGACTGTTGTAGAGTCTTCATGGAATAATAGAAACTAGTCTTAAAATATGTGTATAATGCCATGATATATTTATTACATGTCTCTGTGTGTATCTGAGTGTCTATGCACATGTATCCTATCCTTTCCCCAGAGAAAAAGGCTTTTCGTATTTTTCTCCTGTTTTGGCAGCTTATGGTTCCATAGAATCCCATGCCGATAGATCTTCTTTTCTATCAATAGCTTTCTGTAATTCTTGTTGCTTTGTAGGAATGAATGAATAATTAATTTTTATCCATCCATCCATCCATCCATCCATCCATCCATCCTAGTTTCTGCAACAATAGGCTATAATGGTGCTTTGTAAAAATTATGGAAAAGGCCTTAAAAATTCCTTACAACTACATCAATGTAGTCATGGTCAAAAATGAAAACTGATATATCTTCCTTCATTCTTTAAGAAGAAAACAGAATAAATTGCATGTTTTTATTATGACAGAAAAGGGATTGTAAGTTGTCTACTGAATACCTGATATTTTATGCAGCATAGGGAAATATGATTCTATTGTTGGTAAAGTAATACTTTAAATGTACTGTTAAGCTTTTTTAATATACTAAATGACTCAGTAAGAATATCTTGCATGATTTTATTCTGTGCTCAGTTGACACAATGGTGTTTTGTAGTTATATATTCTCACCAGAGAACTTTACCTATTCTAAGTCTAATCTAAAACTTATAAAGTCTATTTCTTATTCCAAAGTGAAGGGGAAAACACAGAGGTTTTTGTTTCTTTTTTTAAATTGTTGCCCAATAACTGCTGTGATTTACTATTTTACTAATCCATTTTGTGCTTTGGAGTGATGAACTTCTCAGAGCATTAAAAACTGAGGTGGTAGGAAAGGAATCAGAATATTTCTCTTTAGCCAGGAGAGTTTAATCTGAATTGGTTAATGTGTAAATAATTTAGAAGTTTTTTATATTATTTAACTCTTTATGTTTATCTTTCTGGTTAGCCACCTTGAATAGCTAACCAGAATGGTCAATAAGCAGAAATAAAATTTAAATTATTATTGCTGTTGTTGAATTGGACTAAATATTACTGAGTTTTAGTTCTAAAGACTGAATTTCAAACTGATTTTTTTAAAGTTAACTAAAATTCAATTATATTTTTAACAGATGTGGGAAGAAGCCATTGTCTTGGGCAAAGAGCTTGCAGAACAATATGAAAATGAAATGTTTGATTATGAACAACTTAGTGAAGTACTGGTAGGTTTCTCTTTAACTCACTGTAAATGACTATAAATATGAAATTCAATTTTCAATTCTTAACATCAGTATTTCAGTATTAATTGCAATGCAAATCACATAGGACCATGCTGATATCTAAACAGGACGTACTTCACAACACATTAAAAGATATGTTTGAATTAAAAATAAGTCTTTTTAACATAAAGCATATTGTAGCCCAAACTGTATGCAAAAGTTACCGACTGTAGAATACAGATAGTCCTTAGCTTACAATGGCAACTGGGACCAGAATTGCTGTGGCTGAGCGACGCAGTCATAAAGCACAATATCACGTGACCATGTCACTTAGCGATGGCAATTCTGGCAGTCCTGGTTGCTGTTGTTAAGCAAGGACCTCACATGACCGCAACTTCTGACTTTCTGCTGGCTTCCCCATTGACTTTGCTTGTGAGAAGCTGACAGGGAACATCAGAAATCACGATCACATGACCACAGCTTGCTGCAATGTTGTACTTGTGAACCGGGTATGGGGATGTGGTGATGTATATACCATTCATTCAGCACCATCACAACTTTGAATGGTTGCTGAATGAATGGTCGTAACCCAAGGACTACCTGCAGTATTGATTTTCTTCTGATAACATACATTAGTGCAGAATTTCCTAATTTGCATCAGTTTTCTACCTTGTTAAATTTCTTCAGATTTCTTCTTTATACTCTGATACTTATCCTCTATAGTGATAAGTCTCTCAAAACTATTAGTTCACTCATGTGCATATTCCCAGGTACTCAAGTCCTTCACTGGCCATTGTGGCTCACTCCCATGTGTGCAAATTCTATTCTATAATAACCAAGGTATTGTAAGTAACAATACTTATCTAACAAAAGAAGACCAGACTTCTGTTTATTTCAAATACATTGTTTATATAACACACCACAATTTGTTGTTGCTGCTTGCTGTCTGCAGGGTTTGTTCAATTTTTTTTCCAAGTTTGATTACCTGCTGTGATTTGCTTGTTCTTTTTATTTTAGAACTTGACTACTCTTTTGCCATGAATGTGGTCCTTTAGCTTTAAATCCCAAGACACAATTTTATAATATTGTTTTCTAAAAATGAACCAAAAATACAAGTCTCCACTAACCTACATGCACTATTGTGGAATTTTACTACCCTTAGAAAGCAGGCTTCCTCATGGACTCTCATAATGTAGAAAATGATTAAACAGAAACTAATCCTATTTGGTTAAAGCACAAACTATCCTTTTCTGTGTAAATGATATTGTACACTAGATAAGGACAGCTTTGAAACTCTTTTTTCCTTTGCCACCATTTCCTTCTGAAACTGCTTGTGTATTTGCACTGTTCTTTTACTGACAAATAAAAAATGTTGCTGCTATCAGGTTCAGTTTGGTCTCTTATCATTTTCTCTGCAACTAGGTAGCATTCGCCCTGCAGCTTCAAAGCATATTTTATGAAGTTGCAGAAGTATTTACCATCTATTAAAAACTTCTACAATTTCAGTAGTGGTCTGTGCCTGTTTCAAGAGGAGAGTATGCCACAGAGTTAGATTGAAATGTTTATTGCTAAACAATTAGCTTGTGAAACATTTTCAGCAAATTTCTTTGCATGTACTAATAGAAGAGAAGCTCAGTGTTGAACTGTAGAGTCCTTGGGGTCCTCTGAGCTTGGTTGTTTTCTTGCAGACGTTTCCTTACCCATCTAGGTAATTTGGGTTGGTAGTTTCATGATTAGGGTATTG